AGTGTAACTGCTCTAACTGCTCAGTGTACTCACTTGTGGTTAATCCTTATAGCAATCCTGTGAGGTTGTCATTTTTTTCCTTTTTGGTAGAGCTGGGGGTTGGGGGACCATCTCTATTTTATATGTGGGAAGCGGACAACTTGTTAACACCAAAAGAGCCAGGGTTTGTTTTTAGGCGCTTGAGCTCTGCAGTTTACAATCTTAAGCACACTATATTGCCTTTCAGCCTGAGGGTGGCTCAGTATGGCATTGTTCATTGTTCACCTAGTGCCCATTGATCAAAACAATCACACATCATTTATTGTGCAGACTGCTCAGTGCGATAACCAGTTGCTACTGTATGGGGCAATACTGAACAGTGCCTGTACACATATTTAGTTAGATAATTACATCTTTATCTACTGTATATAATATGATATGATATATATTTTAGAGACAGTGGTATCATAGTTTACATACGCGTTTGCCTGTAAAGACAACATGACCATGTGTCATCAAAATATTTCTTGAAAATTTCTAAGGCTTAGAAGTTGCTGCACTGAAGATTGGCATCTATTAGTTATATAAGTTTCTCATAACTAATTTTTCTTGGAGCAGGCACTATTTCTTGATGTATCATCAGATACATGTCATTAAACCTTGACATCTCTTCACCTGACAGGATGTGTGCACCCAGAAAATTCACATGTGCCAACTCACAGTTACTCCTGGGTACATTTTATATTTTGTGCACTATTTAAGTTTTTATCCCCCCCATACCACCTTTTTTCCTGAACACATTTGCATAGTTTTTTTAAAAAACATAATTGAGCCTTTTTCTAAGAGATTAACAGTTAACATTTTGTATATTCTTGCATACCTACTCTATATATTACCCATATGTACTTACAGAAGTGTAATGTCTTCTGTAAATGACTTCTTACTGTTTATATATTTGTGAGGTTCTTTTGCCATGTTAACACATGTACTCCTTAGATTGGATGTGACATAATTTGATGAAATTTTGTTTGTACAATTAATACGTGAGCATTTTAGTTTAAAGAATTCAAGTGTAATGAAGTAACATAGTTAAATAACTTCAAAGCTCCCTTGACCATCTTCCTTAATCCCCAGCGTCTCCCAAGAAAACAGTTTGTTGTTATTGCAAACCATTTTCTTTGCATTCCATTTATATACTTCCTAAGTCTTTAGGTGTGCAGAGTTTGAGTTTGCTTCCATAAACAGTTCCAGCTATAATATTGTTCAGCATGATTGCATTTATTTCCTTTCTTCCTTCTTCCCCTGTGCTTTTTCATCCTTTCCCCTCCCCTGTCCTTCCTTCCCTTCTCTTTCTTTCTTTCTTTTTTTTTCTTTCCACAGGGTCTTCCTCCATAATCCAGGCTGGTCTTGAACTCTCAATCCTTTGGCCTCCACCTCCCAAGTGTACCACCTTGCCCAGCTGTTTCTTTGTTTTTACTCAGCAGTGGTTTTTTGGAGGTGGTGTCTCATTGAACTGCAAGTGGTTTAACTGCTCCTCTGATGGTCTCACTTAAATTTTTTTCTATTTTTATCATAACATTATAAAGAACACTGGTTTAATGGTCTTTTTTTCCTCTTTTAATATTCTTGAATGAACTTATTTGGACACTTGATTTAGTTTTAACTTTAAAAATCTGTTACTGCCAAAATGCTTTACTTGTTTACTTCAAAATGACTTTACTTACAATAATACTCTTCATAAGAACATAGGAATTTGTTCACACATTTTCCAATTTTTTAATATTAAGCTGTCATTTGTTCCCAATTGGATATGTGTGAAATAATGTTTTGGTATATTATTTATTTACTTTTTTTTTTTTTTTGCGGTGCTGGTACATGCTGAGCAAGTGTTCTACCCACTGAACTAGAGCCATTTATGTATGTATGTATTTAGATTACTAGGGGTCTTTCTTTTCTTTGATATGCTTATTAACTATTTATAGTTTTGTTTTGTGATTTGCCAGCATTTCTCGATTGTTGTCTCTTTCTGTTGATTTGTTGGCATTTGCCTTATGTAGGTGAAAAAGCATTTTATACTAGCCCTTTGTTATATAAAACTCTCAGATATTGATGTAGTCAGTCATATTTATAATTTTTCGTCATGGTGTTATTCAACTAAGTTTTTTTTTTCTGTTCCTTCATTGCTAGATTAAGAAAAAACAGTCCTCTACCACTTAGCCATGCCCCTAGTCCTTTTTTAACGTTTTAATCCCCCTCCCCACCCCATATACACATAGGGTTTTATGCTTTGCTTGGCTGTCCTCAGATTCTGATCCTCCTGCCGCTGCCTTCTGAGTAGTATAGGTAGGTATGTGCCTACTTTGTTTTTGATAAGGTCTCACTAACTTTTTACACAGGTTGGCCTCTTAACTTCTATCCTTCTTTCTCCATCTCCCAGGTAGCTAGGATTAAATGTATGTGCCACCATGTCCATCAGGAATGTTAAATTTTTATGAAGTGGCCTTTTACTGTTTGTCTAAAGGAGTAACCATAATAATAATTTGTTAGTATAATTAATTTCTAAATACTGACCTTCCCTTAAATTTTCTGGATAAAATCAAATTGGCCATGATTTAGCCTTTTTAAAAAAACTGCTGATTTCAGTTATTAATTTATTTATGCCTTCTACTCATAAGCAAGAATTTAGTGTGTCTCTTCCTCCCTCCCTCTCTCCATCTTCCTTCTACATTTTCTCTTTTTTTCTTTTTTGGGTAGGACTAGGGTTTGAACTGAGGGCTTCCTGCTTACAAAGCAGGCACTCTACTGCTTTAGCCACAGCTCTAGTCCAGTCCATTTTGCTATGATTTTTTGGAGGTGGGGTTTATGAACCATTTCCCCTTGCTGACCTCAAACCGAGATCCTCCTGATTTTAGCCTCCTAAGTAGCTAGGATTATAGATGTGAGCCACTGGCGCCTAGCCTTTTTTTTTTGAATAATTTTTGAATTTGGGATTGTGTTGTTTCATAGAGTGATTTAAGTTTTTCTCCTTTGCTGTACTCTACAATGGTTATATAACATAAGAATGCATAATTCACAATTATTTGGTGAAGGTTTTCTATCAATTTGTTTAGGTCTAGCACCTTTGTAAAGCTAGGTTTTTGCCCTGTAGTTTTTTCCTATAGTTACTTGTATGTTCAGGTTTTACCTGTTCTTAGGGAAATTTTGCTAATTTACAGTTCCTTTAAAATTGTTCATTTTGATTCCTGTTCACATTAATTGGATTAAATATATGCTGTTTGTGGTTAAAACTTTTCTAATTAAAATTATTTTCTTTCTTTCTAATGTTATATGCTATTTTTATCCCTTTTTTTGGGTGTGTTTCTTTCTCCCTTACTCCCCCAGTAGCTTTGGGTTGGCTTTATTGATTGCCCATTTCACTCCCTATATTAGTTTCCATTTAATTGAAATTCACAGAAAGGTTCCAGAATAATTGGTTAAGGAATGCCTCCTATACATCCTCTTTGATTCTCCAGCTGCTTACAGTTTGCTCTGCTTACCTTTCTCTCTGATTTTTTCTTTTTTCTTTTTGACAGTGTCTGGTTTTGAACTCAAGGGCTTGAGCTAGGCAAAGACTCTACTGCTCGAACCACATACTTCTTGCCCTTTTTGCTGTACTTTATTTTTCATATAGGCTTTTTGCTTGGGCCAGGCCTCAGACTGTGATCTTGCTACTTATACTTCCCTCCTAGCTGGAATTACAGGAGTATGCACCCACACCCACCTTGTTTTTTGAGGTGGGATTTTGCTGACTTTTGCCTGAGCTGGCTGCCAACCATGATCCTCCCATCTCTGCCTCCTGTGTAGCTGGGATTATAGGCTGTCTGAATTTTTAAATCTATGCATATGAGCTTTTTAGAATCGTTTAAGTGGAAGTTGGGGGCATTTAGTGCAGTTACTTAGGTGTATTGTAAGAACCACAGTACAGTTATCACAATCAGGAAGTTTAACTGTGATACAATACTTTTATCTTAGCCACAATCCATAGATTTCATCAGTTGTTCAGTAAGGTCCTCGATAATTATTTCTTTCCTGCTTCAGGATATTAGGACACACATTGCATTCAGTTATCTCATTTTGGGGTAAGGGCTGCTTGGAGTAGAACCCACAGCCTTGCACATGCTAGGCAAGTGGTTTACCACTGGGCTACATTCCAGTCCTCTGTTGTTATAATGTCATTCAACATGGAACGTCATTAGTCTTTTTGTGTATTTCCTGACATTGACATTTTAAATATTTTTTTCTTTTTTTCAGAATAGTTCTCAATTTGGGTTTGTCTGATTAGATTGATTAAGGTTAGCTATTTTTGGTAGAAATTAGATGGAGGTGATGATGTTTATCATATTTGGAGTCACCTGATGTGTTCACAGTGATGTCTGCAGGGTTACTCCATTCTAAAATTTGTTAGGACACATTTAATGGTAGTCTAAATACCTGTTCTTCACCAGCATTTCACCTTTGAGTTTGTTTGTTTCTAGCCTGTCATGTTGAAAGCTTAGTTTTATTTATTTCAGCCTCTTAAATTTTCTAAAATACTTAAGATTATAAGATTATTATTATTATTTTTTTGTATTGGGGATTGAACTGGGGAGCTTTGTGCTTGCTAGTCAGGTGGTCTACCATTTGAGCTCTTCTTCCAGCCCAAACTTTACCTTGTATATTACTTTGACATATTATCTGGGTGTATTTATAGTAAGATTTGGGATGAAAGGAGACGGTAAGTAGGAAGGTTGTCTATAAATCATCTACTACTAAGAAACTGGCGAGAACCTGAACAGAGTAATTTCAAGATGCCCAAATCAGCCATTAAGAAAAATTACTAGTCTTGTTTTAAAGAACAAAAGAAATGGTTTTTAATGATAGTGATTGGCTCACCTATGAATAATAACGAGTTGTTGAAAATTAGGAATTTCGATTTATTTCACTTGGGCTTGTTTAATAAACGCACAGTAATCGCAGACCGAGTTGTTTCTTTTCCATTTCAGGAGCAGTGGCAATGGCATGGAAGAACCCTCTGTCTAGCTGGTTTACGGCTATGCTCCACTGTTTTGGTGGAGGGATTTTATCCTGTATACTGCTAGCAGAGCCTCCACTGAGGTTTCTGGCAAACCACACTAATATTTTACTGGCATCTTCAATCTGGTAAGCTGCCATTATGGTAACAGAGAGACATTTAAAAAATTGTTTCATAAATTGTTAGTAACATGGAACATTTTTTTTCTTTAAAAAACATTCTGCATGTCAAGGAAGGAACCCAAATAATGCCAAACGTTTTAAGTGCAAAGTTTATCTCTTTGTTGCTTTTCTCCTTTATCTTTCCCCAGAGGCAGTTATTATTACCATTGTCTTACATATATTCAGTGGCAACATTTCAGACATAAAAAGGCATCCAAACAGTTTATTCTACGAACTCAGCTCTAATAAACAGAATTACAACATGATAAAAATCATGAATGTAGTCTGGTGCTGGTGGCCCACACCTATAATTCTAGTTACTGTGCAGAGATCGGGAGGATCTTGGTTGGAGGCCAGTCAGGGCAAATAGTTTGTAAGACCCTATCTTGAAAATGCTCAATACAAAAAACAGCTGGTGGAGTGACTCAAGTAGTAGAGTGCCTGTCTGGCAAGTGTGAGTCTCTGAGGCCCTAAGTTCAAGCCCAGTACCACCCCCCCAAAAAAAGAAAAAAAATCATGAATGTGATCAACCAAACAAAAAGTCTAAGTGTTTATGACTTCCGTATAATTGTTTTTGTCATACTCTATGTTGGATTATTTAGAGCCTCTGAAATCTTTAAATATTAATTTTGTAGTTTTGAAGTGCAAAGAATGTTGCTAGGAATTGCTTTGTATTCTTACAAATATAAATTCAGATATCCTTAAGAGGACTGATCTATTAAGTTAAAAAATGTATAATACAAATCAATGTGCTTTGTTCTTTTGAAATCAAAAACTGTTTTCTATTAAAAATCATATCAGTTAAATATGTTAGAACACTTATAGTTTGTTTTTATTGTGATAATTTTTAGTGACTGTAACTAGTTTTGAAAAGGATATTATATATAGTTGTAGCAAAAGTGAAAAGGAATAGTGGGAACCTGTGGCAGTGGAAATTAGGCACGGAATAATATATTTGGTAGTTAGTATTTATTGAGTTGTTACTATATATCAATTAAATCCTTTATATTCATTTTCATATTTAATCATAAGAGTCCTGTGAAGTAGTTACCATTTTTATTTCCATTTGACAACTGGGAAAATCGAGGCATAGAGAAACGTTGCTTTAATTTTCATATGTAGTAAGTGGTTGAGCTAGAATCAAAATAAAAAATTTAGCTTCAGAGCTTTCTCACTGACGCGTGGCTCTCATAGATTGGTTTAACCATCTCCATTCTTTAGATTAAGGAAAAAAATTGCCACTTAAACAGTCTTTTCATTATAAAATGATCATTTAGAAAACAACAAAATTCAAATACATGGCCTAATGAATCATTATAGAGTACATCCTTGTAACCACTATGCAAATCAAGAAATAGACTTTGTAACTCATCACTGAAGTCCTTTCTGGAGGATCAGATGGACCTGGGAATGAGAATTCCTCAAGAAACATCCCAGTCCCAAATGCTGAGACTGTCATTTTCACTCTAGAGATGAATCTATTGAAAGTGTTCTCTTTCCTACTAAACTTCGCAATTACTTTCACTACATCCTGCCTGAGTTTTTCTGTTGAAACCTAGGACCAAAGTGCTTATCAGTACTAAACTTTCTGGTGACAGTTCCACAAAGATTCTCATGTCTTGATCCCTTCCAACTGAATACAATATGCAACATGATGAAAGGCACTTTGAAGATGCATTAAGATTATGAAAAGGGACTTAAAGACATTGTACTGGATTGTCCAAGAGTGTCCAGTCTAATGGCATGAAATCCCATAAGGAGAGAACTTTTTGTGGTTGGAGGCAGAAGAGATAATGCAGCAGAGAGGAAAGTTAGAGATTCTGAGGCTGAGGAGGGCCTCACAAGTGGGGGCTAGAAGGAAGCCTCAGGAAAGTATGGGAGTGCTAGCTGATAGTGAGGCAACAGGGCCTCAGTCATATAACTGCAAAGAACTGAATTCAACATCCTGAATAAGCCTAATGATAAAAGCTGAAAGCTTTGAATTAAATCTTGAGATAAGATGAATACAGAACCTAGCCGAACCATCCTATTTTTCATACCTGTGGAGTCATAGATAATTCGGAGATAATAAATAAATGTGTGCCATTGTAAACATTCAAAAAAAAGTCCTTTCTGTGTGTTTCATTAGTCACAATCCCCTTCCCACTTTAAATAACTATTGTAATAATACATCGTTATCCTAACTTGTTGGTAATCACTTCTTTGCATTTTTGTATAGTTTTTTTTTTTTACCCCTAGAAATTATAACTTAGTCATTGCTAGGTCCAAATTGTCTCATTGTCTCTCTTTTGTGACATTAACCCTCTTTCCAACTTAATGTTTGTAAGTATTAATTAAGTGAAAATTACAAAATGGTCATAGTCTAATTCTTTTTAATTATCAGTTAGAATGTTATTATAAATAGATAATCTATTACTTGATTATCCGGCTATAGTTCATATAGAAAATACAGGACAAATGCTTGATTCTTTCCTTTATTTACCAGTTTTCAAGATAGTGAACTGGTTTTCTGTCTTGCTCTAAAGAGGACCAATTTTTATATTATAATAATAGTAATAATAATAACTCAAAGATTTAGGCATATTTCATGGTTCTCACTAAATTTCAGTTTTCACTATTACTGAAGTTCCAGTTGTTCCATTTTTGGCCAGTGGTGCCTCATCACATTGGCTCCTGAGACTTTGACTTGGCTTCCTTGCTTGGTAGTGTTATGAGGTTCTTTTTCAATTACTCATTTCTCTAAGAAGCTCTGGTTTCTTCTAGTGATTGTGGTATTTCAGTATCATAGTCTGAGTGCTAGAGATGCTCATCATTACTAAGTTCATCATTGCTGCTAGGACATTTCAGTGAACAGAGCCAAGAAAAATAAGGATAAAATAACTCATGAGTTTGTATTGATATTTCTAAGTCAAAATCAAGACTATAGAGATTTTATTTAACTTGTCTCTCTTAGCAAGGTTCTTGATGTGTAGCCCAGTCTGGACTGGAACCTACTGTGTAGACCAGGCTGGCCTTGAACTCAATATCCTCCTGCCTCTGTTTCCCAAGTGCTGGGATTACAGGTGTGCACCACCACACTTGGCAAGAATCTTGCTTTTTAAGAGCATAGGATGTGATACAATTAGAATATTATGACACTGGCAATTTATTCTATCTGTGTTGTCACATAACAGATGAGACTTTAGAGTCTCTAATGGTACTAAGACTACCACTGATAATGAATAATGAAAATATGTGGTTTTTGCATATACACATTTCATTTTCCTCCCATTTAAAAAGTAAATGAATTATTCTATACTGTCATAGTTTTATAGCCATTATATACCATACTCTTTCCTACTTAATCCTTATTCCATCTTAACTTTTCAGCTTACTTTGTACTTAAGGCTTGTCACCCAGTCCTTCTGTCTGTATTTCTCATTAGTTTTGGTTGTCTGAAGCTTATTCTCTGGTACATTCATTTGGAACAACAGTCCCTGAGTTCCCACATAATGGCAAATTTACTGTGTCTTTTGTACTTGAAAGCCAGTTTTACTGGGATTTCCTTGACCATTTAAAATACATTGCTCCATTTTCTTTTGACTTTAAGTATTGCTTGAAGAAGTCTGATGATAGTTTTAATTTTCTTTCCTTTATAAATCACATTCTTTTTTTCCCCCATATGCCCCAAAGATTTTTTTTTTCATTAAGAGCCCAATAATTTAAACAAAATATGTCGTGTTTGGTCATTCTGGGTCAGTATTCTCAGGTATGTGGTATGTTCTTTTTAGTACGTACAAGATCAGTTGGGAAAGTTATTTTAGTATTTATAGTCTTCCCTCGGTTTGGTTTTCTTTAGGAACTCCTGTTATTGGCATATTGGCTTCTTGCTGCCTTTCTTCTATAAATGTTTCTTATGTCCTCTTAAGAATTAAAATTTTTCCTCTTTTCACCTTTTGTGTCTTGGGAGATACTATCCATTAAGTTTTTCTTTATGTTTTCTGGTTTGGTCTTCATTTTTGAAATCACTCTTTCTCTTTTAGTTCTTTCTTTTCCCTGAGTATTGAATTTTCAGGTTTTCTTTTTTTGGGTGGTACTGGGTTTGAACTCAGGGCCTTGCTAGACAGGTGCTCTACCACTTTAGCCACTCTGCCATCCCTGTTTTGTGTTGGATTTTTTTGAGGTATGATCTCTCAAACTATTTCTGGGATAGCTTCAAAACTGTGATCCTCCTGATCTCTGCCTAGTAGCTAGGATTACAAGAGTGAGTCACAGTTTTAAATTTTTTTCTCTAATTCTGATGTTTGTTGTGCTTTTATGTTGTATATCACTTTCTTAATGTCTTTTGTTTTGAAATTGGCTGTGGTTTTGATCTTTTTTGTGGGCACATTTTTCTGAGTGCTCTCATTGTCTGTAGGAATTTACTATGCTTTTTTTTTTTTAAGTTGTAATAGGAGTACATGAATTTTGACCTTTATATTTTTATATGAACTTGAACGTTCAGGATAAGGTGGAATTCAGGAAAGATTTTCTGACTTTGGAGAGCACCTGTTTGTTGTTTTTCTGTGGTAGTCACTAGATGTTACCTGAGATTTCCTGGGTCTCTTCTCGCCCCAGTTTGATCTGGACCTTCACTTCTGTTCTGTCTTGCTTAGTTTTGATTCTACTCCAGCAAGTTCTTCTCACACATCGGTTTGAAAACTCCTGGGGACTAAATTGCTCCAACTCTTTCTTATCATGGACCCTTTGTCTTATCTGATACTAAAGATGTCAGAAATCCTCAAGTTTCAGCTGTTTTGTTTTTTCATATTAGCCTACTTGTGCTTTTCAGTGAACCCATTAAACATTTTAGTATTATTTTGTTCTCAGGCTATCTTGTTTATTTTTCCTGCAAAGTAGTATTGACCTTTGTGGATGTTGGTGATTTGTCTCTGCCCACTGCATTTTGGGGCTTGAGGGGACACCTTGTCATAGTTTTGTTGTGAGTATTGGTCATGGGATTTTTGGTTTTCCTATCTAGTTGTGGGAATTTGAAGAGATCAAGATGTGTGTGGCTGCTATCTTCCTAAAACCCTTGGCATGAGTTTTTCTGTCTCCTGTATTTTCTCTCCTGTCCCCTTTTCTTCTTTTCTCAAAGATAATCATCTTAATCCTTAACAATACAGTTTTTTGAGTTTTATAAATGGAATCATGTATGTTTTTCTATGACTTGCTGTTTTTTGTTCAATCTCTGTTCCCAAGATTCATTCTTACTGTGTGGTTTGTAACTTATTTTCACTACTCTATAGCATAATGGAATTAATGTGCCATAATATATTCATTTCTCTGTTGATAGAGTTGCTTTTAATTTTTTCCTATTACAAATAGTATTTCTAAGAAAATTTCTATGTATTCACTGATGAACATGAGCAAGAGTTTCCTTGGCATATGCTTAAGAGTGTACTTACGGAGTTACAGGGAAAGTGGTTCTTAAATTCTATTAGATAATACCAAATCATTCTCAGAGTAGTTATGCTCATTTATATTTCTACTGTATTGCATGCATTCTAAAAACTGGGACTTTGCCAGTATATACAACACTTAACTTTCGCTTCCTCTACCTGTCTCCCAATTTCCCTTAGATAGCTATCCTAAGGTTTGCATTTATTTTACTGTTTAGAAAAATTTATATCACATATGTGAATAAACAACAGATTTTTAGTTTTATTTGTTTTGGACCCTATTTTATTTATTTATTAATATTTTGGGGGTGCTGTGGCTTAAACCCAGGGCATTGCATGAATGATAGGCTCACACTGTAGCACTGAATTATACTTACAGCTCCATGGGCCATATTTTAAAAGGGACTATCACATTGTCCATAGAGTTTTGGGACTTCTTTTTTTCAATCAATATTATGTTACTAAGATTCATCTGTGTGTATCTTTGTGTGTAGCTGTGGTACATTCTGCCATTGCTGTGTAATCCATCATACTAATATCTATATTTATTCTTCTGTCAATGAGCATTTTTACTAGTTCTAGTTGAAATTGGTATTTTAAAACAGCATTATAAAATAGCAACCAGTTGTAGCATTTACTGTATCCCAGACACATTTCTAAATGTTCTACGTGCGTTATCTCACTCAAACCTCACATGAACTCTATCAGGTTAGTAATATTTTATCCTTCAGATATCATATAGTGATGCATGGTGGGGTTAGTGGCTTTTCTAAGGTATCGGAGATACTGAGTAGCTGGAGCCAGGATTCAGAGCTAGGACATCTAATCCTTTAGTCTGTGCTTGGGCAGTGAATTTCTAGATACTCTGGAAAGAGGATCATTGTCTTTGTCTTTAAAAATAAAAAATAATGCTGGCTTAACCACAGTATTTTATTACTTTCATTTTTAAGGCTATCATATTTAGAAAAAACTTGTAATCTTTGCTTCATTTCACTTTAATTTGAAAGCTAGAATGATTAATTTGAGAGTTAAAATGATTTTAAACTGTAGCAAGCAAGTTCTTTTTTTGTTTGTTTTATTTTAGTACTGTAGCTTCATATTGTGGACATCTGGAGATTAGCACCATCTACTGGTGAAGAGAAACAATAACTTAGTAATACACTTATAATATGCTTAGAAGAGAGTGTACATACACTCAGGATTCTTTTTGAAAATCTGTTTCTGGGGAAGTAAATATTTTATGATTTTCTATATTGATTTTTATGGTCTTGTATTTTTCCTTAACTTAAATTTCCAAGTATAACTTGTTGTATATTGCATATTTGTAAAGCTGAGAATACATTTAGATGAGGAAAAATACAGGAGACATAGTTTTGTAGGTATATTTTGTCAATCTTTTTTTTTTTTTCTTTACTGTTTTTTGAGACAGGGTCTTGCTATGTAATTCAGGATGACCTTGAACTCATTATGTAGATCAGGCTGACCTCGAACTTAAGATTCCCCTAACTCAACCCCTTGAGTGCTGGGATTACAGGTGCGTACCACCACACCAGGCTTTGTTTCTTAGTCTTTTTCAAAGCATATGCATAACATTATTATTTTGTTAAGAGTAATACGAGCAAGAGAAAAGCTGTTGTATTGGACTAACATGAGCCACAGTTTGTTGTGCTGATTTGGCATAGTTAAGTGATAATGTCTTAAGTGGAAGAGTGAAATTGATAGTAGAGGGAAAACAGAGTTCTCAGTAGTAACCTTGGGAAGCTTCTCTCTGCTCAACTCTTGGCGTTAGCCCAAATTCTGCTTCTGTCTTTTCTACTTAAATGGATTTAGCTTTATTTGTTGGTAGCCTAGGTTCTTGCTTGTATCATGTTTTAGACTAATTTCTATGTTATTTTTCTATTAACACATGCAACTTAAAAATGTATGAAAAATCCATTATTGTCACCTCATTCTATTTCTTCTCTTTTTTTCAAGTATGATTTCTTTAGGCACTTTATAAGATAAATATTTCTTAGATGTTATATTTTTTTTTGCTCTACTAGAGTTTGAGCTCAGGGCCTCATGCTTGCTAAGCAGGCATTCTACCACTTGAGCCACTGTGCCAGATATTACAAATTTGAAGGTGAAATTATAATCTTTATAGGAGGAGAGACATATGAATACTTGATTTGTTAGATGAAGGATTCATCAAAGGAATTTTCTAAAGCTAATTTATGTTATAGATCAGGACTAGTTGTTCAGGAAGCTATCGGTCTTATGTGATTCTTGTAAGTCTGTTGAGCACAATAAAGTTATTCTTTTGTTCTGTGGCTAGTTAGTACTCAAGAATGGCTTTTTTGCTGGCTCCAGTGGCTCACACCTGCAATCCTAGCGACTCAGGAGACAGAGATCAGGAGGATCATTTCATGGTTTGAAGCCAGCCCGGGTAATTAGTTTGCAAGACTCTATCTCGAAAATACCGAACATAAAGAAAGGGCTGGTGGAATGACTCAAGGTGTAGGTCCTGAGATTAAGCCCTAGTACTGCAGACAAACAAAAAAGAGTAGCTTTCTATGTACTTTAGAAATATTAAATTGAAGAAAGATTTGATTGAGAGGAAGCAATAATTATACATTTTAGGCTATATGCCATAATGTCATAGCCGAATATAAAAAGTCTAAGATTGCTTAGTCTTAGTTTTTAGCTCATGTTAAAGATAGGCCTAAGGAATGAAAATAGGGTTCATTTTCTGTTTTGTTCCTTTGATTATTTTACTTTTGAGCATTAATTACTGATAAAGTGAAACCAAATCATGTTTTCTCAGACTAATCTTCAATAGATACCAAAATGTTTTTATTTTATTAAAACATACGTATAACTTACTATTTAAGTGAATATACTCTTTTTTTCCTCCACTATTTGACCAACTTCCTGGAGATTAATTATATATTTAAAAGGGATGGTGTACAGAGACTTTCAAAATATTGCATGAACATGTAAAAATTTTAAATCATATCAGTTGTTTTCAAAAGTCTTTTTTACTACTCAGATAATTCATTGCTTTCTCTCAAAATCTTTAATTATCAACTGTTTCTTTGATTTATTTTGTATTTTGCTAATAAATTATTTAATTTAGAACTACTTTTCATCATGCTGAGTTTTAGGTTAGCAGGTAGTAAGATGAATGATTTCTGTCATCTAAAGACTTGTAATTTATTATGAACATTGTAATAGCCTTTATTTTATATTATAAAGAAAAATATGTAGCTAGCTATTTTGAGGCTTAGAAACCAATTGATTTGTTGCACACAATAACCATTAGTCTGAGCTGAAGTGTTAAATAAAATCTCCAAAGTCAATGGACATGGTAGTATTGGAGTGGGCCTTTGAAAAATAAGAAGGAATTGTAAGTGCAGATGAAAAGGAAAGGATGACTTAGGCTGATCAAACCACTGCATCTTGTATTAGGTCTCTGAAGCAGTATTTTGGCAAATATTTCATATTCTATGAATACATTTGAAATTTCTGACTTTATGAATCATGAATTGTACTACCTATGTTAGAGTAAAATTAATATCCATGTTAGAGATATAGGATAATTCTCTCATGCCATGTGTTCTATGTCACCCCATTAGAAAGAAGTTATGTTTTGCTTTAAACACAAAAATGTCTATCAGAGTTTTTTAGTAATGGAGAGAAAAAAAGCATATTTTCCAGTAAATATTACTGATGATGTTTGAATAGATGCTTAGAACAAACAGTTTAAAAACTGTTATCAGTTGTCCTTCTTCCAGAGGACAAAGACAATTTATGGTTAGCAGTGGAAGTGGTTATGCATTGGTTTTATTTTGTTAGTAGGTCCTGCACTTAGCTTCTAAAACAGAATAGGTACAAATTAGGGACCAAGAGATACTTCATACATCTATAGAATGTTTACAAGTTCAAAGTTTACATTCCTCTCTGATCATGACATTGACAGATTATATATGTTTCATGTGATTTTAAAAAAATCAACTTTGTACCCAGTCTGTGCTTTTCTTGAATTCACATCCAAGTTTATATGGATAATTCCATTTGTTGTGTTATGTTGTTAATGCCTGATGGATTAGACTTTTATTTCTAGTTTTCTGATTCTACTCATATATTAAAGTATTTAAATTTTAATTTCAGGTATATTATATTTTTTTGCCCATATGACCTAGTTTCCCACGGTTATTCATTCTTACCTGTTCAACTCTTGGCTGCGGGAATGAAGGAAGTGACCAGAACTTGGAAAATAGTAGGTGGAATCACACATGCTAATAGCTATTACAAAAATGGCTGGATAGTCATGATAGCTATTGGATGGGCCCGAGGTAATATTAATCATATGTGTTCATAAGTATTCTGTTATTGATGTACAGTAACTGTTAAGTAATTCTCTGGTTTTGGTAATGGGGATTGCATACTTTAATAATCTTTTTGGAGGGTAGAAACCTTGTTTCTGTTGGTTAGTAAAGTTAGTTCAGAACTAGTATTTCTTATTAGTACTAGTCATCAACCATTATCTTGAGCCATCATAAAATTTTTATGATTGATTTTTTTTAGGAGCCCCGAACCTTAGTGTTTTTTCCACTCTACCCTGAATTGCTGGAAATAGTATATATGATTGAATATGGATTCATGTTCACATTGCATCAATTGCTTTTATTGTTTTATATGTAGAAATTGAACAGATTTCTTTAACCTCTTGTTATAGTCTCTGCTCCTAAAACTAATCATATCAGGAAAGGAAATGATAAAGCAGAGGATTTTATTTTCCTGTTTGAAAGAAATCTCTAGGCACATCTTTGTGCCTGAGGTCCTAATTTTAACCTTACTTACAATGAGATAGACAGTTGCCACTTATACAGTTGTCTTAGTGTTCTAAGGCAACTTTTTTCTTTTAAGAATTCTGTTTTGGAAATCTTCTTACATTTTAAGTCAGGTGATAGAATTTGGTCACCCCCCCAAATACTTTCTTCTTCCACTGTTCTACTAGGGGTTCAGCTCAGAGTCTCGCACTTGCTAGGTTGGTGCTCTACCACTTGAGCCATGCCACTAGCCCTTTTTGTGTTGGTTATTTTTGAGATATGGTCTTGCTTTATGCTTTGGCATGTCTGGACCACAATCCTCCTATTTGTGCATCCCAGCATAGCTGGGATGACAGATAAGCACCACTGTAGCCAGCCATTGGTTGAGATGGGTTCTTGTATACTTTTCACTGGGGATGGCCTTGAGCCACAATCTCTGCCTCCTAAGAAGCTAGGGTTACAGGCTTGAGCCATCATGCTAAGCCTCCCAAATATTTTCTTAAGAAAATTGGCTAAATTGTCTTATTTTCCTATTTTTAGGTGCAGGTGGTACCATTATCACAAGTTTTGAGCAGTTGATAAAAGGAACTTGGAAACCAGAAGGTGATGAATGGTTGAAAATGTCATAGTAAGTTGGTATATATTATACTGAGACCTGGATTTTTTTCTTTATAATTTATTATATATATATATATATTTTTTTAAAGAACACTTTGGGGACTGTAAATGTGGATGAAGGTAGTTTAACAGATAAAAATGCTAATGACAATGGGAAGAGAACCAGCAAGTTTTTTTCTTTCCAAGAGTTCTTTCAAATAAAGTTTTAAAATCCTTTCTCTTCGCTGTAGTTTTCTACCCATAGAAAACAAAACCAAATCTCTGGATTGTAGTAAGATTGTGGTAAAGGTTTGTGTTTATGAAGAAAAATATACTTAGGAGAAGACTTCTCTGGATGGAAATGAGTGAATTACAGGCTCTTGACATTTTCATTAATGACTACAGTGTCACCCAAATTTCAGATTATACATCATTCTGATAGAAATTTGTCAAATTTATGAGAAAAAAATCAGCACATTACCACAAAGCCCTGTGAGTTACTTAAAAAAATGATAGTTAACCTTAATTACATATAAAAAATAAAAAGATTAGATTAAATAACCCACTGAATACTTCTGTGATGCAAACCATGTGTTACATCTATTTAAGAGAATCTAATTATTAAATGTTTTCTAAAGACATTGAACCAGTTTTATTACGTCTTTATTTATTTTGACAGTACTGGGGTTTGAACTCGGGCTCACATTTGCTAGGCAGGTGCTCTACCACTTTAGCCACTCCACCAACCTGGCCCAATTTTAACATCGCAGATACATCCCTGATACACCTGAAAGTGAAATAGAGAAATGTAGTTACTATTTGAAGGAGACGATATAGGGATAGTGGCAAATATTAAGCAAGGTGAAGAAGACTTAATGTAAAAATGAGCTAATTTCTAATTGAAAATGGATTGACAATAAAGGTTGAGAAGTAGTATAAATGATGAGGCATATTTGAATGGACCAAAAGGTAGTTTATAAATAGAGCAAAGGAGGTTTTGATTGATCACTTATAAATAAGATAGTAGTAATATTCAGAGGAAGATTTCCTCATTTCAAAAGTATGACTTGAAATATCTTCCATAAAACATTTCATGGCTTTTATAACCAAAAACAAGTTGTGTTTTTCTTCTGTTCAAAACTTTCCTATGATTCCCCCAAATGGACTGTATAACCTTTTAAGATCTGCCTCTTTCCACACCTAACTTATTTTGATTTCATCTTTTGTTATTATTTCTCTACCTCACTCCACTGTATCTGTGAAGAAGTTAGGTATGGTCTGATTAAACTAGCTTGTCTCTCTGCCTAGGATCTTTTTTCCTAACTCCCCTGTCTACATTGCTAAAGCATTTTCTGAGTGTTTCCTAATCAGCTTAGAATTGCAATGCCTCCATTTGTTTTCCTTTTTTCCACAGTGCTTATCACCTTACAAAATACTCTGATTCATGACACTTTCTAACGTATTTACTTATTCACTATGTTTGTTCTTTCCTCCCCTTGATTGCTCTTCCCATTCTTCAAATAATAAAAAATGCCAAGGACAGGGATTTTTATCTCTTTTAATTGTTCTTGTACCAAACAGCACACAATAGATGTTTAGTATGTATTACATGAATGAATGAGTTATTAACAGTGGGCCAGGCATTACGGTATATATGTGTGTAAGTTTTCTTATATTGATTCCCAAATAGTTTTTGGTACATTTAGATATGTATCCATTCAACACATGTTTTGCGAACACTTACTGTAAGCAAAAGAGTTGGTAGAGTGAATATATCCCAAAGTGAAGTCTTAGAGAATGGTCTATAAAATCAGTGTTTTAGAAGTAAATAAAATTGAAATCAGAAATCAAAGCTATTTTCTGAGCTTTTACCATATGCTAGGTGCTGTGCAGGCACTTTTAAACATACTTGCCACCCTGAATCTTCACCGCAAACCTGAGAAGTAGGTATTATTTCTACTTCCTGGGCTAGAAAGCTCAGGCTTAAAGAAGTTAAAAGCATTGGGTAACGCTACATAGGTAGTTATGATGTTTTTCTTTTTTCTTTCCTTCTTTTTCTTGATGGTGTAGTTCTTAATTTTTACTTAAGGTATACTTTATATTTAATAAAGTGCATCTAATAAAACTATAATTTGTTGAGGAACAGCTACCATTATCTTTTGCTACATTTTCCTCCCACTCTCCCACTTTTTAAAAATCAGTACTGGGGATTGAACTCAGGGCCTTATGCTTGTTAGGGTGGCACTCTACAAGTTGAACCACACCCCTAGTCTGAGGAATAGCTACCATTATCAAGAATATGTCATATTTATAGGTGTAATCCCAGCTCTCAGGAGGTGGAGGCAGGAGAATTGAGAGTTTGAGGCCAGCCTGGTTACAGTGAGACCCTGTCTCAAAATATTTTTTTCTCATAGCACGAAAGTTTCCTTGTGCCCCTTTGCATTTTATCCCTCTCTCCATCTCTGGTACCAGGCAAACATATAGTGTTGCTTGCTTTTTCTAGAATTTTATATAAATGGAATTTTATACTGTGTATTCTTTCATTCACATAGTGACTTTGAGATTTATCCATAGACTAGTTCCCTTTGTTTTTTCTGTGCTACTGGGGCTTGAACTCAGGGCATCATGCTTGCAGTAGGCTTGCTATGCAGGCACTCTGCAGTGCCTGTTTTCTTTTGGGGTTTTTCGAGGTAGGGCCTCTCAAACTATTTACCTCAGGCTGGCTTGGAACTGTGATTCTCCTTATGCCTGCCTCCTGAGTAGCTAGGATTACAGAAGTGAGCCTCCAGAGCCTAGCTAGTTAGTTCCTTTTTGTTGCTGTATTTTATTATATGAACTAGTCAAATTTGTTTATTTATGTATTGATGAATTTTTGGGTTGATTCTAATTTCTAGCTATTCTAAAAATGTAGCTATGAACATTTGTATGCAAGTCATTCCTCTGTAAATACAAATTTTCATTTTTTTGAGGGAATATGTAGTTATGGAACGACTGCGTTGTATAGTGGGTGTATGTTTAACTGTTTTGAAAATCACCATGCAGTTTCTCAAAGTCTCTAAGAGAGTTCCAGTTGCTCCATTTTATCACCATGCCTTGGGATTGTTGCCATGAAATTCCATTTTTTTTTTCTGCAAGGGACATTTTTTTTTTATTTCAAAGTGCATCCAGAAGAATGCAGAATTTTAGTTAATTTCTGTAGCAGCTGCTTTAGGTGACTGTTTAAAAACAACTCCCTAATCCTTATTGTTTAACATGTACTTGAAAACATGCAACATGGTACAGTTCATTAAGTTTATGAATATCAGTATCTGTATAAAATTGAGTGTTTCTTTTTCAAATATTAAGTTTGAATGCTTCATTCATCCTTTGGTTTCAAACCCATGTAGTACACTCATATTATACTGTACTTTTAGCACTGAGACAGAACCCTATCCATCTGTTGAGGAAGGAAGGGTGCCATGGGAATACTAAAGCACTACATTGAAGGCAAACATTGAAGCAAAAATACTTTCTGAATATATATACTGTTTATTATGTAAGCAAACACCCAGAATAAGGATCAACACAGGCCAAAATACTGTTTTCTAGGAAATCAGAATCTTTCTTTTAAATCATACAAGTTGAGGATACTATTTGTTGAGAATGCAGTTCCTGTACTTGCTTATATGCTTAGATATCTTGGAAACGATTATTACATTCATTTGCTAACAGTTTGTCTTCTGCTTAGTTGGTTGCTGTTCAGTCCATTTTTCATTTATTACTAATTAAGAAATATATGAGTAATTCACCTTTATCAATCCATGTTAGTAATATAAATAGATTAAGTAAACTAGTGAATTTCAAAGTTGGTGCAGGGAATACTAGTTGATAGCTTGTTTCCAAGAAAACAAGTAGCAAAATAATCACTATGAAGTTAGTCCAAGATAGAAGTAAGTCCTTGATTTAGTAGGCTGAATCAAAGCATAAAGGAAGGAAATTCTAATTCCTATGTTACTGTGCAAATCTAGAATTTCCGATGTAAAAGACAGTGCTGGCAGCATCAAAAGCCCTGAAATAAGAGCATGAAATACTGATTAGGTTTTGAAATTCAGGGAAATTATGTGAAGAAATTTCAATATCTTAACATTAATGTCATAGCAGTGGCCTCAGAATTCCCTTAATGAATGAGAAAATAAGATAATTCATTAGTCAATAATATTCTGAATTAAAACCTAAATTTAAAGCAGGTGGTAAACACACAGAGCTAAAGATATTGTGATGATATGCAAGAATTTCAAATTTTAGGCTAATGTTCTGTACTAGCAGCAACTCCCTCTAAAAGAAGAGCTTAGTTTTGACTGTCCATACCTTTTCAAAGTTTCCAGTCTTGAAGGAGTGCATTTCCAATGCTTCCTGGTAGGCAAGGCTGAGTATATTCAACGAGGCATAGATTGTTTTGTCGTAGGGAGTCTGCAAATGATCATCCTCTTGGCCCAAAGCATAACCTACCACCCTAAGCCCTGCTTCATGAGCTCCAGGCAGTGTCTATTCCTTTCCTTTGCTTCCACATTAATAAAGGCTGCAAAGTCTGCACAGTGCAGGCTTTTAAAGACAAGTAAGTTGTTAACAGAAAAGAGAGCATCATTTACAACTGCTCCAGCTTTTAACCTCATGTCCTTCATATCTGTTCCTCTACAACCATTAAGTACTGAACCTTCTTGACATTCTGACACACTGTTTAGTTTCCATTCTGCGCTCGTCCTGTCCCATGTCTTCTTCTTCCTTCTCCAGAGGAGTCTTTGGATGCATTTCTCATTATGGTTGTTCAATTAGCTTTTCCTGAAGACTATGCTTACTGGCTATTTCCATGTCTGTTTTGAGAATGTATGTATGTATCTTTGCTCATTAATATTATTAGGTTGTCTTATTATTTAGTTTTAAGTGTTGTTTTTTACATTATGCATACCATTTCTTTGGTGTGTACATGTACTTGTAGTAAAGTCCATTTAATAATTTTTTAGTGCTTTTGCATTCTAAGAAATCTTTGCCAATTCCAGAGTTGCAAAAGCTATTCCTCTTAGGTTTTCAAGAAGTTTTTGCTTTTAGCTTTTACAGTTGATCTATTTCAGGTTACTTTTTGTGTAGGTAGTATTACCTAGGGTTTAGTGTTTATTTTACCCTATATACCCAGTTGTTCAGTGACATGTCTTGGAAAACTTTCCCTTTGCTCATTGTATTGCCTTGTTAACTTTGTTTGATAATTGAGTGATCACATATTCATAGGACAGACTGTTTCTGGATTCTTTACTCTGTTACATTGATCCTAAGAGGCTACCTTAATGCCAGTATCCACCATTTTGATTGATGTAACTTTGTGATTAAGTCTTGAAAACAGATGACATGAGTCCCCTGATATTGTTCTTTCTTTTGTTTTAATAAAATTTCTTTGGCTAGTCTGAGACCTTTTCATTAGCATACAGATTTTGGAATCAATAAATTTCTACAAAAAGCTTGTGGGAATTTTATTGAGATGGCATTTTATGTATCAATTGGAAGAGATTGAGATCTTCGCAATATAAAGACTTCTAATACACAAGCACCTTACATACTTCCATTTATTTAGGTATTTTAAAATTTCTCTGAGCAGTATTTTGCAGTTTTCAGTATAAAGTCTTGCATGTCTTTTATTAAATTTATTCCTAGACATTTTATATTTTTTTGGTGGGACTGGGGTTTGAATTCAGGGCTTCAGGCTTACAACACAAGCACCCTACCACTTGAACCACACCTCCAGTATTTTTGTATTTTTTGACACTATTATTAATAGTGTTTTTAAAATTTTTTATTAATATGCAAGGATACAATTGATTTATATAAATTAACCTTGTATTGTTCTTGTAGTTTTGTAGACTATTTTAGGACTTAAGTTCATTTGTATATAGGTTTAACTCCATTTCTTTTCTGATCTTTATTCCTCCCTTTTCCCCTTTTCTTGCCTTCTTAGTTCTTTTTTCTGTGTATGTTTATAGTGTATAAAGCATAGTAGGCTGAATATGGGTCCCTAAAGGTGTCAGGTCCTAATTCCTGGAACCTCTAAATGTTATATAGAAACAGCTTTGCAGATTTACAAGTTAAAGATTTTGAGATGAGATCTTGGATTATCTAGATAGGGCCCACTACAATCACATGTATTATTATTATTATTATTATTTTGGTGGGACTGGGGTTTGAACTTAGGACTTCATGCTTGTAAAGCAGGTGCTCTACCACTTGAACCACACCTTCTAGCCCATTTTGCTTTGGTTATTTTGGAGTTGGAGTCTCTAAACTATTTTCTTGGGCTGGCCTTGAACGACGAACCTCCCGATCTCAGCCTGCCAAGTAGCTAGGATTATAGATGTGAGACATGAGTGCCCAGCAATCACATGTATTCTTATAAGAGGGAGATTGAGACCACCCATAGAATGGGAGAAGGCAATGTGGTTATGAAGGCAGAGATTAAAACAATGTATCCCCAAGCCAAGGCATGCTTGCAGCCACTGGAAACTGGAGAAGACAAGAATAGATTCTCTATAGCCCCTGGAGGGAGGGAAGCCCTGATGATGTCTTGATTTGACCAAGTGATTTTGGTCAAATTTTGTGGTAATTTGTTACAGGAGCCATTGGAAACTTAGGGAGGGAAGCCCTGATGATGTCTTGATTTGACCAAGTGATTTTGGTCAAATTTTGTGGTAATTTGTTATAGCAGCCATTGGAAACTTAATACAGAGTTTGCTACCATGGCAGCCACTTTACTAAATTGTTTACTACAGTTGTGTGGAAAGTATAACTTGTAAGTGGTGAATTTGGATATTTTGCTGACAAGATTTTCAAGCAAAGTGTTGAAGGTATAGCCTGGTTTCCTCCTTTTCTATCCCCTTCCTTCTGCTTTGTTTTTTGTTCTTACCACAGGTCTTGCTCTGTTGCCCAGGCTGGCCTTGAATGTAACCTTCTGCCTTGAGTAGCTGGGAATGCAGGTGTGTGCTACCATATCCAGCTCAGTTTGGTTTTAGTAAAGTGTTGAAGTGTTGTAAGCTAAATCAATATCTGATCAGAAGATTCCTACATTCTTTCTGTATTGAATGGAAGAATCCAGGCAGCACATAAGAGAGATAGTAGAGTTTATTAAAGGTAAGGGGGAGGAATTACAAAAAGCAGTGGTGGCTCCATCTGGCCAGGTAGACAGGTGGGATGGAGAAGCAGGAAAATAAAAAGAGAGTGGGATAATGTTTTCAAGACATTTTAAACTGCCTATAACCTATTGGTGGGGAAAGATTTTGGCTGTTCCAGTGGGTTGGGCTAGGGTGATTCAGTGTGATTGATAGTTACCTTGCACTTAAGCTAGCTCTTATGTATTTGAATCATGTGTTATCAATATTCATTTTTTTACCTGAGAAATAATGGAGCCTTGGACTCATTCCAAGGCTTCTTGTCTTACAGTTTACAACTGTAAAGGATAACATTGGGCTGAGATGAGTTTAACATGAAATGAGCTGAGAAAAAGTTACACGGGATTTGAAGGGTCCCATAGCATCTTTCTTTTTAACCTGCCTCAGAAGGGTTTAACTGAGGGAGTAAGTGCTAAAAAGAAAGAAAACAAGATGATTTGGGATACTCTCAGCTCATACAAATTGTAAAAGTGGTAAAATTAGATTCACTCTTAGGAAAATTTGCTCTGGAAAGAGGTCAAGGGTACACTGTCTTTGGCCAGTGTTAAGGGGATGAGATATGTGATTCATGGATCTATTCAACTAACACAGCAGAACCAGGAATAGAGATGAATTATCTGAGAAAGATCTGTGGAAGATCTGCTTGTCTGATGGCATGGATCCCAGGAGACCCAGAAAAGTTTTAGAAGTGTTAAATCAGCAGAAATACTGCCATCTTAGACTGTGAGGACAGAAACAGGATAAAATGAAGAAAGTTTTCAGACTCCTCATATTCTACAGAGAAACAGGCTGATAAATCTCAGTTGCAAATTTGTGTTGTCTTTGAGGAAAAGGAATAATGACTTCAGGGTGGTTGCTGAGGACTCTGAGGCCAGGTGCACAGTCCAGAGTCAGAGTACAGAGGCCAGAGCCATGAGTGTAGAGAATAGAGTTGCAGATTCAGGATGGAGCCTCAAGCCACAGAGGATTATTCCCAGACCTTGAAACCTAATGGAACTTGCTCTGTTGGATTTCAGAATTGATTATTACTAGTGATCTCTTGCCTCCATTTTTTTCCCCTTTTGAAATGGGAATGTCAAGAACTTACCAGTGCCTATATCATCACTGTATTTTAGAAGCAGATAACTTTTTCTGCTTCACAGATAAATAATACAAGTACTAGAACATCTAGATCTTTGTAACAATTCTCATACTCTAATTTAAAACTTTTTCCCAAATTCTAGCATTTTCCAGTGCCCTACCCCCATTTGTTTTGTACAAAATCTTTATTCCTCAGATCTAACCTTTTTTTAGGAACCCAATTTAAAATAAGAAGGTGTGAGTGTATACAAGGCCATATCCATAATGAGCCTGTTTGGTGCAAAAAGCAAAGTATTAGTAGCAAAATAACATCAAGATAAATTATTTTCATTTATTTTTTATTTCATCCTTTTAAAGTTTCAACTTTGTGTATATTTTATAATACAATTATATGTATATATATTTACAAATTAATTGATGAACATATCAGGGGGGTGTCTTCAAATACTTTTTAAAAAAGCAGTAGGGATGTACATAAAAAAGGTTGAAAATCACTGTTCCAAAATGTGACTGCTACTCAATTATATTGTTATATGAAGTCCAAACCCCTGTTGCCCAAACCTAATGCTGTTTTGAACTATCTATCCTTAGCCTATAATAATTAAAAATAACCTATTTTTAAAAATAAAATGGGACCTTTAAATTTGTCATTTATTGCAGTGTGGCATTCTGAGAGTTTACCATTTGTGTTTCTTCACTGGTAAGCATAGAGAAGCTAGGCAGTTATCCTTTACTGAGATATACTTTAAATACTTGGCAAATACGTAGGATGAAAGTAATGCTCCTTTTTTTTTCTGGTAGTACTGGGGTTTGAACTCAGCCTTGCACTTGCTAGGCAGGTGCTCTATTGCCTGAGCCATGCCTCCAACTATAGTAATGCTCTTATCTCTTAGATTAGCATCTTATAAACTTTACAATTTCAGCATTATATAATAAAATATTAGACAAGGCCAGTATGCTATCTTGAAGTTAGCTAAGTGATGTATGTGCTGATGCTGGCTCATGCTGCCTTTTGAGAGCCAGTAGTGTTGGTGCATCTCTGCCTCTGCTCTATTCAACAGCCTGAAATTGGTCATAATGGGAGTATTTACACCAATGGAAATGGACAAACGCCATACAAATCAACCCTACTGTGGGATCTAGTGTCCCTGAAGGTTTTTCAAGATTAATTCTAAATCATGCTGTGGAACATGAAGCTTTCGAGTTTTTGAAAAAGTATTATATAGTCAAATATATTTCAGAAATACTACATTATAGAAATGTGCCTCGTCATTCTTAAATTTCTAATACTTTATGCTATGGAAAAGGGTATTTATATAAATCAACATTCCAAAGTTTACAAGTATAATCACAAAACTGTTTTGTGTTAGTATCTTCAGTAGTAGCCCATTAAATTAATGTTTTACAGAGCACTCTTCGTGTGTTTATTGCTTACTGACTTAAAATGTGTTTATTTTCAGCCCTTTCCAAGGTAAACCCTACTGGGTTCAGTTATCTTTACATTCCAGCACACCAATCATCTGGATATATCAAAGCATAATCTTATGTTCCTTTATACCATCTTTCTTGTGACCACAAAGGTAAGAGTTTCAAGTTTTATAAATCAGTATTATAAATCCTGTATTAGCCTTTTTCCTTTGATAAAATCCTATATATTTGCACCAGTACAATAATGTTTATTTTTATTGTTATTAAAAAATTTGTTAAAAAAAATTTAAAAAAATGAATTTGGGGAAGTGTGTTCAGCATATATCCATGACTTTCTGAAATGTACTTTTTTTGGTGATTTTTCATTTGCTTTCAAAACCACTTACAGAGAGCCTGGTAATATGTTGGAAATCAGAAAGTAGTAGAAGTAGCCAAGACGGATCAGAGACTGCACAGATAGTGTTGCCTATTTGTAAAATGAGGTACTTGGAGAGATGTTTCTCTGAGCTTCTTTAAGCTCTAAAATTTTAACATTTTATATAGGACATATTTTATGATCAATATCTTCTATTATTATTGCCTGGTTAGAAGCTTTATTCTATAGCAGGTAGTATGGTATAAGATCACAGGTTGTAGAGACAGGTAGTCTTGAATTTAAATTCTAGTTTTGCTGTTTAGTCCCTGAATAGGAAAGTTGCTTAATATGTCTGAATCCCAATTTCTTTCATCGTCATTATAACTATTGTAGAAAGGATTGGGAGGATGATGCGTGTCATTCTGTCACTTTGTCTGACACATTTGGAATTTTATTTACAACTGTAGCATGAGGCTGGCTAATTCTGACTGTTTCTTACATTATCAGTATTGTTCCTATTCACAAGTAGACAGTTAATTTTTAGGATAAGATTATTATTTAGGCTAGAAAAATTTTATGGTTAGCTTTTATTTCAGAGCAAGATATTTAAAAAAAAATTTATCTGGCAATATTCTTAAAAGGAAAACAAGTATATGTTGAGTGTTGTGACCCATGCCCGTATCATAGTCCCAGCTCTCGGGGA